TACAAACATGAATAAGAATGCAGTCATACAACAATTAAGAAATACTTGTGAATTGTGACTATTGCCTAATAATGTTTAAGTCTATACAAGTATACATGTTTATATTTCAAGTTATTTAATGCAAAATCGTAATGCCCATGTGATTTAACTGGAAAAATCATATGGTCAGTCTTATTAAAGCTGAATTTTTGAAAATTGATCTCATTATTAGCTGGAGGAGGTAAATAGAAGCACTGCTAGTAGAGGCATGGTTCGCGAACCTAAAGTGATGGTGTTTTGGACAAAGCCTGGAGGCGAGGTCTAACTAGTTTTTGTACAAATTCGGTACCTATCTGTGGGTGACACAACGTAAAAAACACAAAGGAAATGAGAAGGTTCACAAAAGAAAAACCTCCGGATGATATACTAAGGGTGGATTTCACCAAGGTTGTCAAATCAACAGTCCGTTATTCTCCACCTGTAGGGTAACAGTCCGTCAAATACATCGAATGAGCTTCAAGTTCCAATCAACAAATTTTGGCAACCAATAGCAATGAAATGTTGAAAAAAAAATACTGTCAAAGTATGAGATGACAACGTGTCATTGAAACATCACCAGCTTATTGAATATTAAGAAATTACATATAATTCAGTCAAAATTTAAAGAAATGTTTGATTTTTGAATAAAATTCATGTTTTAATTACTATTGTTGAGTTTTTATTCATGTTTATATTATTTTCTTCAATTGATATGCTATTTTACTTTTTAAAAATCACCTACCGTGTGCTTTTTCCTATAAACCTCTTGCAGATCGCCATTAAACACCTACTTGATGACAGGCTCTACCAAAAGGTTCATAGATATTGATCGTCTCCAAACTTTCATTCATTTACTTGCCGTTCATCAGAACCATTTTGGTACCTTAGATTGATATTCCCACAAAACCATTCAGGTTTTTTGATATCCATACATCCATAAAGTTGAATATTTTTCGTTGTTCAGGAACTGAACACACATCCACACTATATCCAGTCGTCAAAAACAGTAAAAACATCCTACCAAATATAATAGCTAGAAAATCGACCTATTATTTCTCTCATTTTCATTGGTCCATCTAAATAACTGACCGTCTTTTCTGAAATGATAAAAATTTGAAATTCTGTGAAAGTTATCCTTATTCTAAAGCGCAAAGACATAATATTATATCTATAATGTACCCTTTTTTCACGACTTTATTCTACATTTTAATAGAAATCACTGATATTCAGAGAGCTTTGACAGCTTTCGTCAAATTGCATTTCGATAAGATATTTTCCCACTGGTCCAAGAGACCGTTAAATATTAATGTTGGTGAAATTGGCCCTTAGTATACTATGGAGATTTAGATGCTAATCCCTTACTGCGATTTGATGTAATTGAAATGTCTGTGGCCTCAAACACTGGAAAAATAATGGAAGGTAGAAATATAACTAATGTATCTACATTGTCTTCATCTTCTAGAGCCGTTTTACACACAAGAGAATTACTCCGAAAATTATGGTCATAATTACGCCGAAAATTTGCATGGAAAAAATATGAAGATTTTCTCTACAACCTGTATGACACAAGCAAACAAAATTTCCGAGTAATTCATATGATACGCCTGCGCATTAGAGTAATATTTTCGAATCGACATAACCTTAACGGGTATGACGTCCAATATAATTGGAAAGAAATCGAGATCTTGGCTAATATTATAAAATTTCTCAATGCTTGGACTATCGCATCCAGCGCCTGACGCCGCAAGTTTCTGTTTTTGTAATTGGGTGACTTCACCTTGTACAGGTTTGGCCATTTTTGGTACTCCTCCAACAACAATGTAACTTCTTCCCGATTCCACGACATTATGAATAAACATTAAACGCTTATTCGTACATCTCGAATAGGACCACACCCACAAATGTTAAGTGAGGTTATGTTGTTGACGTTGACATTTGATACTGACATACACGGAAACAACCCTCTGCACCGACTCTCGCGCATATTCTATAGAACGGATTTTATATTTTTACCATGAAAATTTTCGCAAGAATTCTTTTTGGTGTAATACGGCAGCAAAAATTTTCGGCATAATTATAACCATAATTTCCACCAATTGATCTTTTAATAGTGAGATGCCATGTGGCATATAAGACATTTTTTGTGGCTTTTTACATTCCTGACAAAATTGCCGTTGATGAATTTGAATCATTCTTTGATGCTGTTGAGCAACTGGATTATTTGCACGACTGTAATTCCCTGTTTCTAGGAGATTTTAATGTGCCTCAACTTGTAAATAGCAATCTTCTAGACCCTAAGACACGCATTATCCATAATCCATAATTTTTTGGACATTTTTAATTATAAGCAGTCAAATAATGTCTTAAATCAACTTGGTCGGTCGCTAGACCTGGTAATTTCTAAATTACCCCCTGTACTGTTAAGCGTGATGAACTACCTCTAGTGCCAGAAGATAGTCACCACAGGGCACTAGCTGTTGATTTGACTGCCATATTCATTGAAGAGAATAAGTTTACATTCAATCATAGTAAAATAACTTATAACTACAGAAAGGCTGACTTTGTCAACCTGTATCAAGAGCTAATTCAATTTGACTGGGATGTTTTATTCTGCTCTTCTGATGTTAATTATATTGTTGATGTATTTTATGGCAACATTTTCCAAATTTTTGACAGGCACATACCTCTATATAAGAATTACAGTCACCGATACCCGCCTTGGTTTCACTCAGCTATTATTAAGAACATTAAACTTAAAGCTAAATTTGATCTACAAGAATTCAAACGTTTGCGCCGCTTGATAAAAAACCAGATTCAATCAGCGTATGATCAATATATTGAAAATATCCAGAATTCTTTAACAATTAACCCAATGGTTTTTGGTCATACGTTCACTCCAAAAACAACACATCACGAATCCCAGGGATAATGAAATTTCAAAATAATTCTATAGACTGGCCTCAGAATATAGTAAACGCATTCAGTAAGTTTTTCAGCAGCGTCTATGTCACTCACAAGCCCCATAATAATGCCTCACTAAATCATAGTAATTTATTTGTCCATTTTGATCCAATTGAGGAAAATGAAGTCAGGAAGGCCATTAAATCACTAAAGGATAAGATGACATCTGGTCTAGATGGCATTCCGTCCTTTATAGTCAAAGATTGTGTGTTTGTTGGTGTTCTAACTAGGATTTTTAATATTTGTCTTATAACAAAAAGATTTCCAGATATTTGCAAGATCGCTAAGGTCTGTCCAGTGTTTAAGTGTGGGGATAAGTCAAATATTGAGAATTACAGGGCAATCTCTATATTATACATGTTCTCGAAAGTCTTTGAAATAGTCTTGTACAGTCGCATTTACACTGTCGTCCAGCATCAGCTGTCATTGCATCAACACGGATTTGTCGCTAATCGCTCAACAACCACAAATCTATTTATAATAACGCAGTACCTCTCGGAAGCAATTGTTAGTAATGAGCAAGTTGACGTTATTTATACCGACTTTTCGAAAGCTTTCGATAAAATTAACCACAAAACTTTATTAAATAAGTTAGGTTCACTTGGTTTCACAGATGATGCTAGGGAGTTGATGAAATCTTACTTATCCGATCGTAGACAATTTGTTAGCTATAATGGCTTCCAATCTGAGACCTACTTGGCACCTTCTGGAGTTCCTCAGGGGTCCAACCTGGGACCATTACTGTTTTTGATATTTATTAATGACCTCTGTGACTCAGTTGAATGTGAACGCCTATGCTTTGCTGACGACCTAAAAATATATTCGCAAATAAATACTCCTGATGATTGGATCAAGCTACAACACCAATTAAATTTTGTGCTGTCTTGGTGTGTAGAAAACAAGTTGGAGCTTAATGTGAGGAAGTGTAAAATAGTCAGCTATACCAGGAAAATTGATGTTTGCGAATATCCGTACTCTATTGATGGGTCTGTGCTAGAAAGATGCTCTGATGTACGTGATTTAGGTATAATCTATGATCAAAGGTAAACTTTTAGTCAGCATATAAATAAAATAGCATCAGAAGCATTGGCGGCTTATGGTTTCATAGTAAGGAATTGCAGGAATTTTCATAACATAAAGTCTATTAAGCTATTATATTATGCTTATATTAGATCCAAAGTCGAATATTGTAGTATTATTTGGAGCCCTTACTATGAATGCTATAGCACAGCTATTGAAAGAGTACAACGGAAGTTTATGAAGTTTGTTCTGTTTTGGATCGATGGGACATATCCAGAGAGAGGTACAAGTAATGTAGTCGCTTAGACATGTTGACTTTGAAAAAACGTAGGTACTGTTCCTCAATAATATTTGGCTACAAAATGATCAACAATTTAATTGATTGCCCCATGATCCTGGAACAGATCAAGTTTCGTACTCCAACGTTTGCATCTCGCAATAATAAAATATTCGGGCTAGGACAAACATTCTTCTCACCTTTATATGTAATCTGCTCTAATTTAAACAGAATTGGATGTTACTGTGATATATTTACGACAAATGTTAATTACCTGCTAAAGGCAGCTAAGGCCTATTCGGACCAATAGCTCATGTTACAAATGTATATCTGTGTTGCATTTGTTGTTTTCTTTTCGCTTTTTTTCTTTTGTATTATGTTTATAAATTGTCCTATAAATGGGAAACTGTTGGACAATAAAACTATTATTATTATTATTATTTTCTGAGTAATTCTCTTGTGTGTAAAACGGCTCTTAAACAACAGAAACTATTAGTTATCATATAAGGTAAATCGCGTATCCTTGGACAAAACCATTGCCTAACCGTAGCCGAGAAAAGTATAAGGAGCTCATCGTGACACTAACCTAGAGAGAGGTACATCTGGTAGGTCATATGGCCGCCGCAGGTCTCACGAGCGACGAATGGCAAGACAAGATGCCGCAGCATGGCTTGCTTCGATGCAACGAGAGGAATGCCTCGTTTGAAATAAATTTTTGGCGCACCCAGCGATAGCTTTGTTTGTTCTCCGATGCGAGCGCGCATTCTTCTTGGCACTTTGTCTATTATTGCACGATTCTACGGTACTTGTCGCATTGTAGTCATGTTGCAGCGGCGTGTTTGCTAATAGGCCTTTCCACGGCTCTTTGGGTAACATTTTATTTTGTGTATGTGCTAATATGGTGGAACTCTAACAACCTTAACTTCTGATGGTATACAACTATACAGGACCTTGCACTATGTAAAGCATGAATTGCTTCTGAATTATCTAGTTCAGTATGGTGTAGTTCATTGATTCCCAAAGTGGTCTATATGGACCCCTAGTGGTCTATGACAACCTGCAAGGGGTCTACGTCAGCGCAAAAAAAAATTGGGGGTCCATGAGATGAATATGGGGGTCCACGATAGTGGATCTCAACACATACACTGATAGTACCTATTTACTTACATCATACTATCTTATAATATCAAAACATATATATGTACATTATTTATAAAAGTACCTATGAAATAAAAAAAATATTATATATGTTTATAAAATTGTGTAAGTTGTAGGATGTTGGTATTCGCTTTGTGGTCGCAATACATTTTGAACTTGTAAAAACCTGAGAGTCGCAGTCTCAGAGCTTCGCTACCTTGCACTGACTTGTTCAATTTGTCACTCTATAAATACGATCGTGGAACAAATACGTTTATTCGTTTCCTAAATCTTGAAAAGGAAAGTGCTAAGAAAATATTTTAAAAAATATAAACAGATAGTAAATCACACAAATTATAGTGAGTCAGTGATATTTTGTTTGAAAGTGCTGGAGAAAAGTAAGTACATTATTTTTTATTTAATTTTAGTTTTGTACTCGTAGTTAGCAAAGATAGATAAATTACGCCAATCATGACTTTAGTTAGTAGTAGTTAAATATTCAATCATGCAAAATCACACGAGTACTCCTCAATCTTTTCTTTTTAAAAGTTTTAGCAATCGGTAATATAATTACAATGCAATCTCCGTAATTCGAGCTAATCGTTGCAAGAAGATGTTCGAATTATGGAATGTTTTCGGAAAAATCAAAAAATATTTTTAATATACAGCTGCTGGATTTTCTGTCTTATTTAAATAATTTAATTTTGCCCATAGATGACTGATGCCATGTCCGAATCTAAAAAGAAATGTAGACAGTACAGTGTTGATTATTTGAAATTTGGCTTCATTCCATCATTGCCGGACAAACAATCACCTATGTGCCTTTTATGCAACAAAGTTTTGGGCAATGACGCTATGAAACCATCTAAACTGCAAGATCATCTGAGAAGATGCCATCCTGATAAAACAGAGAAAGATTTGAAATACTTTTAAACACTCAAAGATACATTTCAGAAGAGACCTACACTGGACAGAATGTTCGCTTCGACGTCACAAAGAAATGATGATGGTTTGCGGGCGTCTTACAATATCTCGTTACTGATAGCAAAATCCGGAAAACCGCATACTATCGGAGAGAAGTTAATTTTGCCAGCCGTTGAAGAGGTTTTAAAAACTGTTTTACACAAACCTGCATCTGATATCATTAAAAGAATTCCCTTAAGCAACAATACTGTTGAAAGACGTATTGATGAAATGAGTTCTGATATTGAAAGCTTCTTATGTAATTATTTGCAAACGACCCATTTCTCTATACAACTGGACGAGTCTACTTTACCTGATAATGCAGCATTATTATTGGCATATGTTCGTTTTATTATGAATCAAGAAATCTACGAAGAACTGCTCTTCGCAAGAACTTTGATAACCGACACTAAAGGTAAATCAATATTTCATGTTTTGAAGGATTACTTCATTGAAAAAGCAATTCCTTTATCAAATATAATATCAGTAGCTACAGATGGAGCACCTGCCATGGTTGGACGTTATCGTGGATTTATAAGCTATTTAAAACAAAATGTGTCAGGGGTGTTAGCAATACATTGCGTCATCCATCGACAACATTTAGTTGCTAAACATTTGAGTGTTAGTTTGCATGAATCACTTCATTTAGTAATTGATGCAGTAAACCGAATCCGAAGCAACGCGTTGAATACGCGGTTATTTGCGCAGTTGTGTGAAGAAAATGACGAACACTTTCATCAATTACTCCTTCCCACTGAAGTACGCTGGCTGTCGAAAGGCTTATGTTTGACAAGATTTTTTGCACTTTTTGAGATTATTTTAGAATTTCTGGATACTTAAGATAAAATTTTAAAAGAAAATTTAATGAAGACGAAAACAGACATCGCCTATTTAACAGATTTGTTTACAAAATTTAATATGGTTAATTTGCAATTACAAGGCGACAGTTTAAATTTGATTAAAACAAAGTCCATCTGATCAGCGTTTCTTGCCAGAGTTAAACTAATGAAGCAAAATATTGGACGGGGCGAATTTTCTCAGTTCCCCAATTTGTCACAGACAAGCTGCCAGGAAGACGACGTTTCAACTTACGTTCAACATTTAAATGCCCTCTATTCAGATTTTGAATCTAGGTTTGAGGATATTTTGACTATGGTAATACCACCGTGGATAATTAATCCATATGGTGACATAGAAGAAACGAATGTCGTAATACAAGAGAAACTGACTGAACTAAGTACAAACGAAGAACTTAAGGTTCAGTTTAGAAACGGATATCAGCAATTCTGGCTGCAAAATAACATACCCGTTACTTATCCCGTATTATGAAATATAGCGAGGAAATTTTTAATTTCCTTTCCATCGTCATACCTAGTGGGAATGTTATTATTTTGCGCTCAAATAAAAACATACAATGTAACATAGCTCTTGAACATTCAGATAAATAACCATATCTTGCGATTTTCTGATTCTGCAAAAATTCTTGGTGTTGTTTTTGATACAAAATTAAGGTTTATTGAACATGCTAAAAGCTTTTCCCAGCAAACCTACCTAAGGTTACGTATTCTTATAGCAAACAGGTATTTACTAAATTTTAAGTTGCGTAAAAAACTATCTGAAGGATTTGTCATATATATACTAACTTATTGTAATATCGTATACTGCACTTGTTTAGACAGTTTCACTAAACACATTATTCAAGTTATTCAAAACAATTGTATACGTTTCATCTTTGACTTACGTAAATTTGATCATGTATCAGCGAAATATTCCGATCTAAACAGGTTAAAAATTAATGACTTGGCCAATTATCACTATTCAGTTTTTGTTCACAAGTTGCTGCTCCCGTCTAAACCCTCTTACTTGAGAGAACAAAATTCATTTAATAATGATGTGGAACTCTCAGAGAAAAGAAAATTAGAATACCCCAGCAAACGTCTACACTTTTTAAACGAAGTTTTTCCTACAATTTTGCTAGTATTTATAATGACCTTTTTAAAGTATACTCGTATGAAGAATTTTCATTACCTGTCTTTCCACAAAAAGTTAAAGCAATATTACTCAACCCTCCAAACATATAATTTACGTAATCATGAATTTATTTTTTATTCCTTCTTTAATTCAGATTAATAATTTTTGGTGTACTTGGGTTTACAAAGTGTGCCTTTTTATTTTTTACTTTCGATTTAATGAATCAAATCTGTTTGTGAATAGCGTATACTTTTGAGCATCTGCTAGCGACTATATGGTTAAGTGTAAGAGTAGCAGCATGCTAAACTTCGCCATGTAAGTGTGACATCTGGCTATACTACAATGTAATTGTGGATAAGTAAAGACGTCTATTACTATTATTAACTTCGTGCTACCCAAGGATTTGCAGAATTTTCATACTAGGCAAATATGTAAAGGGTAGGAAGGCGCCCAGTGTCTTGGGACTAAGAATATACCACAAATGGTCCTATGTAGCAAATCTATGTTCATCCTTGAAGCAGTCCGAAACATGTTTAAAAGGTTCTTTATCAGATAAGTGTTTGTACAGTGTGTCTGAGTTTGTTGATGTTTGCGAAATTCTATTTAGTTTATTACTCAGATCTGACTTGACGAATCCAATGAATACTAATATGTCTCCTGAATAAGAATGAATTATTATTATGTCTCTTGTATAATAAAAAATTATTACTTGTATTAAAAACATACAATACTTTTACCGTTATTTCTGTAGGGATGGGCCAGTTTCGGTTTTCAAATGCGGTTTGCTTATAAACTAGGTTAACCTACACACCTTGCGGCGCCTGATTTGAATACTGACTCACATAGTCCTACCCTATGACAGTGGTTGCCAACCTTTTCAGCGTGTTGAGCTACTTTGATAGTTTTGAAATAAACCGTGAGCTACCTAGTGGTAAGCAATGTAAGCCAACTCATATGAAATTATACACAGTTATGTGCGACATACATGTGTTTATTTTACTAATACTAATACATACTAATAAACTTTAATAAACTAATACATACCACATAATTACATCCATTCCTACCAATCGTAGGTGTTTGAAAATAAACAAAATTTTTCTTCAGCCACAATGGCTTATCATAAACGACTTAATAACGTCATTTCTTAACAGTACAACTATATCATTGATCATTACTTCTACTCGTCTTATCACTGTATTAGCAGAAAATTGCATAAATTTTATAGCAAGTTGGCAAATAATGGACCTTCTAAAATCACCTTCATAAGGTTTCTTCTTTTGTGCAAATTATTTGGGACACCCGGTATGATGCTTCAGTTGTAGACATACTGCTGTCGATTGTTTTTGAAAATAAGGTTCGGTCCTAGGACCAGTCTTGTTCTTAATATACTAAGTGACATATAAATCCGAACACCCAGTTTAAATGGTTTTATTTTAATAAAATTTTGTATAAGTACTTAATGAAGCATAATAAGTAAATGATAAAAATTTCAAAATGATTGCACTGCTTTAAAGCTCTTTGACCTTTAATAATGTGTGGATGCACCCTGATGTGCTACGCATTCTCCAACGCGCCTAGGCATGATTCTGATCAGGTGGTCAATGTCCTCCTGTGGTATCTCATTCCAGGCAACTACCAACTCCTCTCGAAGTGCTTCTAGAGTCTGAGGAGGACGTTGCAAATTGAGCAATCTCCTACCCATCATATCCCACACGTGCTCAATTGGGGATAAGTCGAGAGATCTTGGTGGCCATGGTAACAATGTGACATCATTATGTTGAAAGAAGTCTATTGTGACTCTT